GGGATCCGAGGGGCTGCTCGGGTACCGCGGTGAACTCCTCGATGGGACCGACCGCTTATATAGAATTACAGATATTTTCAAGTGCTCTGCCGACTGGAACTGGGGAAAAAAGCCAAAAAAAAGCTTACGCTGCTTTCTGGCTCCTAAACCCTGGCCTGGAGCTTGGCCGTGGGCAGGCGCTGGGTGCCGCAGCCCCGGGGCTCCCACGGAGGATGGGATGAACACGAGCCCCAGCCCGTGACACCGACACCTCCACATGTCAGGAAAACTGCCTGGAAAGGGGAAGCTTTGCACGTCCCTCTTTTAATTACCAGGCACAACCTCATCTTAAAAGAACAGCCATGAGAGGAACGAGCCCTCTGCCCAGCGGTGCCCAGCTCGCACGAGGGGCGGGAGGGAAAATAACGGCAAGTCAGGAGGGGAGTGTGCGATGGGCTCAAACGCTGAGCTCTGACCCACACACACGGGAAGAGACGTTGTGATTTTTAACTCTGCTCCAGTTTCCTATCCGCCGAAATTAAATTTCCTCCTGCCCGAGTCCGGTGACCACATTTTCTGCGCAGCACCCGTCCTATAACGAGCAACATCATCGGATTAACGAGTCCTTTGCAGGCAGTGAATAAGTATGATTCATTATTGGCAGCAACACCACTGTAAATGGATTTTTTGTGGTGAAAATAAATAAATAAGGCTGCGTAACTGAAGGGCCGTTGATGAAGTGTAGACCAGCTTTAATCACAATGTAATTGCTGCCATCAGTTCTAATTATTTATAAATATTTTTATAATTGTGGAAATTAAACAATTAGACATCCTTCCTTCCCTCTTCTAAATCTAATCAGTTAAAAGACCCGGATGCAGCCTTGGTCCGTGACTGCTGAACACGCTTCAGTCGTGGGCTGAGAAAAATATCGCTTTACCTTTCTTCTAAAACGCAACCTCCTGTAGAAACTAAACCCTCGCCCCCAGCGCGGAGCAGAGCCTCCATCATCGCTGCTGGAAAGCTGGATCTGTGGCTGCCGCAAGAAATAGTCGAATACGCACAAGATACGGGCCCTGGGTGGACAGAAGAGTCTTCTCCACCACCGAGGACCCAGTTCTTAAATCTCGCCCCAGTGACACATTTTCGTCCATCCCAGGGAGGAGGAAGAGCCTCCCCGGGCCAGCCAGCTCATTGTCCGCAGGCAGAGCGTCTTGGAAGCCGATACCGGAGAAGGAGGGCAAGCTGCTAATATCACTGATGCCAGCGGGTAAATCTACGGTACATCAGGAAACGGCTTACCCAGAAACGCAGTATGAAAATTGATGATGGTATTTCCTCGCTAAAGGAAAAGCATTGACTTTAACGCTGAGCCCTCCCGTACTCACCGACTCCGAGCTCCCGCTCCAGCTCCCCCAGGGACGTTTGCCTGAGGCCGCTCAATGCTGGGGAGTAAATGGTGGGATGGGAAAACCCCTCCTTGGGACGCGAGCCCTGACCTCCTCCTATGCTCCCCCCGGCCCCTGTGACACCCCGGCTTGGCCACAGGCACCTCCTGGGAATATTCCCATAATCCTGGTTTTCCCCTCATTTCTCCCCATTCCCTGCAACACCTGAGTAGAGACCTGATATTACAGCCTAAATCAGCAGTTCAGTCTGTCCCAGGCCAATCCACTGGGAAGACGAGCATCTTCCCAGAGCTTATTGCAGATCTTGATGAGGTTTCTTATTCGTTTCACTCCCCCGTACATCCGCGCAGGCCAGCGGCTGCTCCACAACCATCCCTCATGGCAGGGGCTGCCACCAGAATCCACCTCCTTTCCCCCACGCTCGTTAGCGAAGGCTGTAACGAGCCCAGTGGTTTCCATCCCAACA